TAATTTACATTTGACTTTTACCACTGTCAGCAATGCTCCCATTTACTTTTTACTAACCCCTGATATAGTCTCTAAATTATTCCCTGTCTTTTTTTTGTGACAAAGTCACTCTGTCACCCAGGCTGGAGTGCAGTGGTATGATCTCAGCTCACTGCAACTTCTGCCACCTAGGTTCAAGCAATTGTCTTGCCTCAGCCTCCTGAGTAGCTGGGATTACAGGCGTGCGCCACCACATCCAGCTAATTTTTTTTTTTTTTTTTAAAGTAGAGATCGTGTTTTACCAAATTGGCCAGGCTGGTCTGGAACTCCTGACCTCAAGTAATCCTCAAGTGGTCTGCCTGCCTTGGCCTCCCAAAGTGCTAGGATTACAGGTGTGAGCCACTGTGCCCACCTGTCTTTTTAAATCCCCAATCTCTTTCTCTCAGGCACTTTTTATTTGTTTTCTAATGTAATAGGGAAATTTGAAGGTAACTGATTTGATCTACTCAGCACCCCATAGTTCCCCTTGAAACTTCCTCCAGTGTCAGAAAGAGATCATGTCTCTCATTTTCAATGCCAGCCCCACTGCTCAAGCTCCGGATCTCAGCCTCAACTCTTAGGCAATTCCTAGGATCTCATCCTTCTTCTCTCCAGCATCTTCAGACTTTTACTCACTAATAGCCAATTTTGTCCTCATATGTGTGTTGATTCACCATATCATCTCTTTCAAAACCTTTGAGTCTTTCACTCCTGTCCCATTTCTCTTTTTCCTTTATCAGTCATATTTCTGATGCTTTTAGACCTGTCCTTATTGTTTATACCCTTTTCTCCAGTAATCCCTTGCCACTGGATTTATAACAACCTCCTCTATCAAATATGCTCAGCAGAAGGGTGCCAAGTGACCTTCCTCCAATAATATTCAGCAGCATTTTCCATAACACTTTTACTTTATGTAATACAGTTTATGGGTTTATAAAATGCTTCTTCTTATAATGTCCATGTAACAATAGCTGTCTACCTCCCATCCTTGACTACGTAAATCCACTAATATTGTATTTGGACTTTTACTTGTCTTTACTTTCTCAAAACTACAAATTCCCATGCCTTCCAATTCTGGTTCTCAAGTTAGTCAATCAATACTCTCCCTGAGCAGTCTCCAGCTTATAACCAAACCCAGCATTCGTTTACTCATCTTCAGATTCCTTGCCATAGTCAGTCCCATTTCTATACCTTCACTCATATAGCACAGCCCACATGCAATGCCTTACTCTGTGCCAATCTAAATGCAATGTACCCACCCTTCGAGATCAGCTAGCATTTTACTTCTCTCATTAGACCTTTGCCAAGCATTGCAGTACATTCAGGTCTTTGTCTAAAACCATATTAGACTTGTCTTCTTGACAAAAATGGTACTTCCTAATAGTCTCTAGTTAGTTCAAATACGTGGGCCTTGTTTCATCAACTGTGCCTCTTAAAGCTTGAATGTAAGTTTTCGCACAATCACGGCGCACAGCAATCTTCTCCTGGGTTCAAGCGATCCTTCCACCTCAACCTCCCAAGTAGCTGAGACTATAGGCACACACCATCATGCCCAGCTATAATTTTTGTGTTTCTGTTGAGACAAGGTTTCATCATGTTGTCCAAGCTTGTCTTGAACTCCTGGGTTCAAGCGATCCTCCTCCCAAAGTTCTAGGATTACAGGTGAACATGAGTTTTTATTCCCTGATAGCCTTGCAGTGTGCTAGGCACACAGAAGCTGCTTAATAAATTTGTTTAACGGTGTAATACTAAAAAAATATTATTTACATAAATAATAACAGTAATATCATGGCATTGATAGCTCCACTTTGAGTGAAACTGGGCTTTTTAATGGACTACACAGGAGGCTGCATGAGGCAGTATGACACAGTGGTTAGGAGTAAAAACTCTGAAGCCAAAACTGCCTGGGTTCAAATCTTGGTTCTACCACCTACTGGCTATATGGGTACTGATATTTTCTTCTGTTCTCAAGGAGGGACACATAGATGTTAGTTAACCTTAGGAAGGTACCTGTGTCATGAAATCATTATGGAGATCAAGTGAGTTATGTTAGATACTTGAAGCAACTTCTGGCATGTAGAAATTGCTCCATAAATGCTCCATAAATTGCTCCATAAATTATTAAATGTTCATTACACATAAAATGATAGCATCTCAGAGATAAAAGAGCTTTTGCTTTATAAATGAATGAGCAGAGGTATCAATGCAAAATGATTGGCTCAAGCGCATATGGCTAATCAGAGGCCAAGTCAAGAACTCAGCTCTCCTGATTTCTATTCAGTGTTTGTTCTTTCCCCTCCTTAAGGATTTTATATCTGAACACAAACTACAGAATATTCAAGTTCAAAGGGATATTTAAGACTTTACAATTTAACTTTCCCATAAGGGACCATATACTGCACCACCACTTGTCACAAACCTTTCATCTTTCCCAACAGCACCATTTCCCAGATTATTAATCATCCAGACAAAAAGAGCCTAACAAACCTTGCACGGTGGCCCCCAAGTTAAGAAACACACGAAGGATGGGTATGGATGCCAAGGTCAGGTTGCCTGAGTTCAGATGACTATCACCAGATGAAACCATTTTTAATGATCATCTTTTGAAAAATAAGATTTCTTTTTTTGGGGAAAACATTGTCTGGGATACTCATTATAAAGCTGTGATTCAGGCCATCCCACACAAACATGGATGTTTTGCAGATAGTATTCTTCCCGGTAGGAATCTGAAATTATGATTTTGATGAACTCTGAACAATACTCTAAAGCAGCCAGGAAAAGGCACAGGAGCCAACTAACCATACCAGGCATAATTTCTGAAGGTTTCAATTTTCTGTGTGGTTCTCTGCAACAGTATTCAGCCTGTTTGTGCAATTAGCTATGTTAGAGTTTTTAAATTCAATCTAACAGATACAGACTCTCAAGAGGAACTGCAGCAATAAAAGATTGCTATTATCTATGCACTAATAAACATGTGTGTAAGGATTCTTTCATCAGATGCAATGACATGCTATTCTGGTCTCAATTTGACACTAAGGAAAGAGATTTAATTTCTCTTCAATGCAAATGAAATCACTGTATGTAGCAGCAGCAGTACAGAGAAAGGCCAAACTGAGTAACTGTGTTACGTGTCCACTAAGAATGTTCATACACTCCTCTCAGTCCTGCTACAAACAAGGCTCAGGAAATCCACATTCTTTCTGTATTATTGTTTTAAATGCCTCATTGTAGAATATGGACCTTGAGCTTTATGGCTTAGGATTTTTTTTTTCTTTTTCTCTGCCTTGCCTTTGTCAGTCTATGGCTTGGCATTTTTAACCCTCAAAACAGGGAGGTTCCATTACAATCTAAAAGTTGAATTACTTTACTTTCTTTATACTGAAGACTCAACAGATAGTCTCCACTGATCACACAGAGAATGCATTGTCCCTCCTTTGTGTTTCTGTAGTATTTTGCTTATATTTCTAACACCACTCGTGATTATCTGACTTGTTACACCTTGGTGTGTGTATGTCTCCTTTGTGCACTGTAAACTCCTGAGGACAGAATTCATGTTTTATATATTTCTGTATTGTTCCAGAGCCTGATGATGTCTAAGACATAGGGCCTGCTCAATAAATGTTTCAATAGTTTTAATGGTACATATGTTACACATTTTCCAGTTATACAGTTATTATTAATTCTCATTTCTGATATATCTCTTTTTCATTTCTGAGAACTCTTGTTTTTGAAACACGTAAAAAAGACTTTAGCAGGCTGGCACTGTAATTTAGATGACTATGTAAACAGTAAGGGAGTGCCTAGCAATTATTTGTTGAATAGTAATTTTATGAAAAGTTGCAGAGGTTTCTTTTGAGTTTTAGTTTTTAAGAAGACTCGACCATCTCAGTGGGATAGAGGAAAGAACTCAGAGGCATGACTGGGAGGGTATCGAAGAAAGACTACTGTGCTTTCTAGAAAAAAGACCCAGCACCCAAGTTCTAACTCTGAGACCCAGTCATACATTTGGATCACAGCATTTCCAAGACCAAAATTTCCTCTTTAATAGTTTTTCTGAGAAATTGTCAGGTTTAACGTCAAGAAATACTTAGTCCATGCTCATTAGGCCCACAAACATGACTAGCTACAGGATTCGCGGGGCCCAGCCCAGAATAAAAATGCAGAGCCCCTTGTTCAAAACTTAAGAATTTCAAGACAGTGACTGAAGAGCATCAGCCAAATGAGGAGTCCTTTTAAGCATAGAGCCTTGTGTGGCTGCACAGGTCCCACACCTATGAAGCTAGCCCTCTTCTGTGAAAGACAAAAGGTTTGTAGCTAGGGAGAGAAGCTACAATTCAAGTATGCACAAGGGGCTGCAGGAACCCAGAGCTCCTAACTTTGTAAAAGCATCACTGGGAATGTGAGTTAAACTCATTTTTGAGGGAGAAGTTGCATAGGGAAGAAAGATATTGCAGATAGAAGGACCTGCACTGAAGGTGGGCAGAATTTACCTGACATTCAGAAATACTGTAACTTTTAAGCAGGATGGTGCCAGTGAACATGAGGGTGAGAACAGACTGAGGCTGGAAAGGTAGGCAGAGACCATATATATGGGAAAAGGGGTTGAACAATTACTGAGTGCCTCCTGTGTGCCAAGTTCTTTCCCTCCATGACATTTTAAACACCACAATCTTGTAAATACTGAGTCATCCCTATTTTACAAACAGTTAATTTAGGCATCACACAGATTTAATGTTCAAAGGGCTTGGAACACTCTAAGGATCTAATAAATATTAATATTTGAAGAATTACTGGTGGGTCTGTCTGACTTAAGGTGCAGAACTCTTACCCTTTAGGCCAACCTTCTCCTAAGAGTTCTTTCTAATCCCTCCAGTCATTCTCTCCCCCATCTCTCAAGAGCCCCCAAACTGCCCTTCTCTCCCTTCGCCACGCCCCCGCGTTTCCACGTGCCGGAAATTAGGTGGCAAATTACTTCCGGGATAGTAAAGGTCGGCCCCCGCAAGATGGCGGCCCCCTTGGAACTCAGTTGCTGGGGAGGTGGCTGGGGGCTCCCATCGGTTCACAGCGAGTCCCTGGTGGTGATGGTGAGGCCGCCTCACGGGCCAGGGCGCGGGAAGAAGGGGCGGGGCTAGAGGCGAGAGGCTGACTTGCCCTGGTTTCCCGCTGCGCTGCGGGGTCCAGGAGGGCCGGGCCGCTGCACGCTGCATCGCCCCGGGCTCCCTCCCACCAACGAGTCCCCACCTAGCCTGTACCCCCGCCGAAGGCCGGCGGAAACGTCAAGGCTTCTCCGCTTGACTCCCGAGTTTTGTCTGCCTCACAAAGCTGTCTGGGCGGTGAAGTGAAACCCCAAAGAAGGGGGCGCGCCCTCCCTACTCTGCGTCCCCAGGACCTTTTGGGGAGCAAAGTCCCCGAAAGCCGGGTGGCTGGCGGCCCCGTGCCTACTTGAGATCACGGGGAGGGATGCGGCCTCAAAATCAGTCGCCTTCTGCCTTTGGGGGTGGGGCTGTGAAGTAAAGCTGCTCTGCAGCTTTGCGTTACGCACTTGGTCTAAAATGTTTGATTGCAAACTCTGTTTCAGGCTTATGCCAAATTTTGTGGTGCACCCTTGAAAGTCAATGTGATAGATAACACCTGGAGAGGTTCAAGAGGTATAGTGTAAACCTTTACACTCCCCTTTCTGTACTGTTTTTTTTTTCTTCTTGTATTTAAAGCTGTGAGGTATATAGCTATAATATTAAGGATTTAGTTTCTTACCGTGACCTTGGCTCTGTGTTGTTTATGATTTGATCATTCTGAGTAATACCTCAAAGTGCAAGCCAAATCACTGGAAATTATGAGAAATGAAAATGTTCTCTAGAACCGCTCTTTGTGAAACAGCAAAAAAACCAAGACAAGCTTACTCATTTTTTCCCCTCTAAATGTGCATCTGCTATAGTTTTTAGGGTATTGCAATCTCTTCAGAGGAAATCACACTGTGTCCTTGTATGTAAACTGTCTTTTGATTATAGGCGATGTACCAATTTTGACAACTGAAGACAACATGGTTTCTCAGCCAGCAAAAATACTAAACTTTTTAAGAAAACAGGTGGGTGGTTCACTTTGAAGAAGTAGATGAGTAGATTGTTGATCCCTGCATGTCGGGCTTTTTTTTTTTTTTGCCAACTCATTAGACAATTGGAGATACCTGGGATAAGTTTTAAAAACAGATTTGAGAATCACTGCTCCAAAGCATGAGTTCTGTGATTTGAAAGTCATATGAAGAGGTAGTCAATTTATATTTTAATAACCTTTGAATTTTATTGAAATTTGTATGTAAGTAGATTTAATGTAGCCATTTTCACTATTACACTTATTGATAGGATTGTCTATTTTGTCACATAGTTGGTACACATTTTGTGCTGAGCATGACATCTGAGTTCTCACCAACTAGCAACTATATTATTTTTAAAAAGCTCTTATAGCAGTTTTATGGAATAATGTATCTAAATGTTTTAACAGTAGAGAGTTGTGTATCCAAAATGTTTAAACATGTAAAGATTTATATAAATGCAAAAGTTATTTGTTTTGCCAATACTGTGCTTAAAAAAAGTTGTGTCAATAACATTTTGAACTTTTATAAATTGGAAGGTTTTTTCTTTTTCCATGGGGAGAAACACAGCCAACTGGAACTGTTTCCTTCTTGTTAAAAATAATAGTTGCTTTTATTAAGTTTGTACTACATGCCATGCACTGAACTAGGTCATTAACAAGCATGAAAATAATAGTAGTTAATATTATAACATTTATTGACCATATTGCGTATGTGATGCCGTGCTAAGAACTTTTATGTGCATTAAGCAATAGGTTTCACTGGATTTGTATTTCTCTTTCTCCCATTTTAATACCACATTTGCTATTTGTGAGGAAAAATACGAATCCTGATTTGATTAGTTTTACTGTTTTGGGGCTGCTCTTTGACTTCTGAGTTTTGTTTTTTTTTTAAATAGAAATATAATGCTGATTATGAACTCTCAGCAAAACAAGGAGCAGATACATTGGCTTACATTGCTCTCCTTGAAGAGAAGCTTCTCCCTGCAGTGGTGAGTGTTCTTAAATATTACAGTATTTTAGTGGCCTAGTTGCAAATGTACATAGTCTGTTTAGAAGAAAACCAATGAGAAAAGTCTTAAGAGAAAATTTTACTTATATGTTAATCTTAATTCTTTCATATTACTGTGAAACTGGATTCTGTTAGGCATTCAACTAGTATGTGAAACAACAAAGTAAAAGAAAATGTCATGTTGGAAATCCTTTGTGGGAGATGGATCTTTTTGCTGCATGTATAGAATTGGGTATAATTCATTCATTCAACAAATGTTTATTGAACACCTGCTATGTGTCAGGCCTTGTTCTGGGTGCTTGGAATATAGCAGTCAACAAAACTCACACATTTTAAAATAATCTTGTTTTATCCCGAGTCATTCTAATTGGAAAACTTGTATGAAGTCACTTCATATAAAGGTATTTATGAAAAACTTTCATGTTGATTGAGTGATCTTTCTTTTAATAAAAGAACATCCTGGTAGTGTTTTTTTCTCTCCCTTTGCAGCTTCACACATTCTGGGTTGAGAGTGACAATTACTTTACTGTGACAAAGCCATGGTTTGCTTCACAAATTCCTTTTCCTTTGAGTTTGATCCTGCCTGGAAGAATGTCTAAGGGAGCACTGAACAGGATTCTCCTGACCAGAGGACAGCCTCCACTCTACCACCTCCGAGAAGTGGAAGCACAGGTATAGTGTGGATTATTCTTCAAGCAAGGGCCCTAGAGAGAAAGGATAAGAAAAATCGCAGACATGAGTTTATCTAGAGATGCCTTCCTCAAAAGTAGTTTTAGAGTATCTTTTCTACTTTTGAGATATAATTTCATCCTTATTAGATATACAGAGATGCCAAGGAGTGCCTAAATCTTCTATCAAACAGATTGGGAACATCTCAGTTTTTCTTCGGAGATACGTGAGTATTCCCTTAAAAATCATTTTGATATTTTGTGCACCTATATTCAGTGAGCAGCTATTTAAAGCAAGTCCTCTTATCTCTCCAAAAGATGAGTTTTTCACTTAAAAAAAGAAAAGATTTAGGCCAGGTGCGGTGGCTCATGCCTGTAATCCCAGCAAGGCAAAGGTGGGCAGATCACCTGAGGCCAGGAGTTCAAGACCAGCCTGCCCAATATGGCGAAACCCCGTCTCTACTAAAAATACAAAAAATTAGCTGGGTGTGGTGGTGGGTACCTGTAATCCCAGCTACTTGGGAGCCTGAGGCAGGAGAATCGCTTGAACCTGGGAGGCAGAGGTTGCAGTGAGCTGAGATCACGCCACTGCATTCCAGCCTGGGTGACGAGAGCGAAACTCTGTGTCAAAAAACAAAACAAAACAAACAAAAAAATTTAATGGGCTTTTATTATAGGAAACTTTTTCTACCAGTGATAATCTAACATTGACTTAGTAGGCTGCATATGTGACTTTAAAACATCTAAGACTGTTCCCACTCTGCTTCCCGTCTATTTAACATTTGTGAGTGAAAATGAATCTATGACAATTTCATTTTCTTCTAAATAGTTAGAGTCTAAGCTACTCAATGAGTAAAACCTTAGTTGCATCATTTTTATAAACTAAAATGGATAGTAAACCTTTTAAGAGACTATATTGTATAATTCAGAATTGAGAATTTTGAAAAAAAATTAAACACCATCCCAAGTTAATATTTTCTTAGATGCTTTTAAAAATCCTTAATTTAATATTTTCTTTTATTTATTTATTTTATTATTATTATTATTATTTTTGAGATAGAGTCTCACTCTTGTTGCCCAGGCTAGAGTGCAGTGGCATGATCTTGGCTCATTGCAACCTCCGCCTCCTGGGTTCAAGCAAGTCTCCTGCCTCAACCTCTCAAGTAGCTGGGTTTACAAGTCCTTGCCACTACGCACCGCTTTTTTGTATTTTTAGTAAAGACAGGGTTTCACCATGTTGGTCAGGCCTATCTCAAACTCCTGACCTCAAGTGATCTGCCCGCCTTCATCTCCCAAAGTGCTGGGATTACAGGCATTGAGCCACTGCACCCGGCCTTTAGGTAATATTGTCTTATGTGCTTAAAAAATCCTTAATTTATTTCTAGGCCTTCTACCTTGGATGCCTATGTTTTTGGTTTTCTTGCACCTCTTTACAAAGTACGGTTTCCTAAAGTTCAGCTACAAGAACATCTGAAACAGCTCTCCAACCTCTGTCGCTTTTGTGATGACATCCTGAGCAGTTATTTTAGGCTTAGTCTTGGAGGTAAGCTGGCTCTTCTTCAGCTAATACTTGTTTGCTTATTCTCTTATGTATGTATAAGCAAAATCCACTACTTATTTTAATTTTAAAAGTTTGTGTATTGTCTTTAAATAGTGGTTGATAACACTTCAAGGATTTATATTTTTCTGACTTCATTTTTATTCTCACATTAGTTTTTATTTAAATAGAGAAATAGATATTTGCCTTTTATCTGTTCCTCTGGATTTTTACATTTCTTGCTTCTTGTTCTTTAAATATTACCCCTTTGAAGTGGGTCATGTTCTTCTAAAAGGTTAAAACCACAGGTATTAAGTCTTTGCTGAAAAAGAGTATTTATCCGAATGCAAAGGGACAATTACTTTAAATGATTCTTACCTGCTGCTTCTAGCATTTTCCTGCATGAACAGAAATCAGCAGCAGATTGATTTTGGTGAGGTACACTCCCATGATTCCACTACTTGAAAACTGATTGCATCAGAATGGAGGTATAGTAAATAGAGGGCACCTGTTACTTAGGATGTGCTTCGTTGAGAGAGTGGGGCCTTGTGCTTAAGTGATTCAGATACTAAATTTCTATTGGGAGGGTTGGCTGAAATTGTCCTTTTAAGAAACAGGTTATAAAGATAGCTGGCTTAGGTGGACAGCTTATTATTTTATGGTGGGTTATGTGTTCTGTATACAGGAAGGGGTTAGTAGTTTGGGAGTCATGAAATTAAGTAATGTTCAACCTTGTTAACTTGGGAGCAGTGGTTAGCAAACCTGATTATTTGACAGATAAAAAATCTTGGGTCCTATTCCAGACTTACTAAATTAGAATCTTTTAGGCATCAATCCTATGAATTTGTATTTTTAAGTTCTTCTAAATACTTTGGATGTCTGGTGGGCAACTTTTTGGGAGTTACTGCCTTGGAAAACTATCCAGATAGTTGTGACCAAAGACCTATTTGAAATGGGTGCAAGAAAGGAATAGCTTAAACCTGAGAAGGAAATGAGGACTACTGTGCTTTTTTTTTTTTTTAAATACTAATTATTGTGGCCAATTGCAGAACACTTGGTTAGCATTGTCTACTTAGCGGACAAATTTTCGTCCGTTTTGCTCAGGGTTTAATTTTGGAGCATTCAAATCCCTCTCTTCGCCTTTAAACCCAGAATGGTTTTCCTCTTTGCCTTTTTTGGGGAGGGTGGGGCACTGGACAGGGTGGGTAGACTCAAAATTCTTTCAATCTAAATAGCTTTAAAGGCTTTAAAAATTTCCTGTCTTTCTCTGATTTCTGTCCTGGCTTCTTAGGCATCTCTCCAGCTGGACAAGAAACGGTAGATGCAAATCTTCAGAAACTCACACAACTTGTAAATAAGGAATCCAACTTGATTGAAAAGGTCAAGTCTACTTCAATCATTTTGTCATAGCTTAGTATTTTCCTTTCTGTAGCTAATATTGTCATTTGGGTCACACATTAACTGTACCCTTTTAGTTTTTTTATAGAGTTTATTTTTCAGAAAACTGTTCAACTATACTTTCACTAAAGTTGTATGTAACATAGTGTTTTGAAGCCAGTAGTGGCCTGATTGGGGAAAGATCAGATAAGAGTATTGGGTTTACTTTTGCCACACAATTAGTACCCTTTAAGCTAGGAAATTCAAAAGATTTGCTTTTAAAAAACAAAGCAAAAACACTTCTTGCTTGCATGTCTGCCTCTCTGTCTCTTAAGTTAATGTTTCTTAAGATTGTAAGTACCGGGCTTATCCTTTCTTATTAACAGCACCGTAATGTTCTTTTCTTCTTTCCACATGAAAGTTTTATTTTTTCTCCTTCTCTTGTTCTTCTGTGCTGTAGATACAGTATGTGGTTTTTCACCAGTGTATATATTTTGCCACTTGGGGTGTTCTTTTCATGAGAGAAACACTGAGGAACTGGGTAGGGGAGAGAGCCAACAAAGGGAATTTCAAGGGCGATTCTAGTAGGAAAAATACAAAGAGGTTACATATTTTTTCCCCAGTAACTGATAAGCTTGCTTTTTTTTTTTTTTTTCCTGATACAAATAGTAATACTTACTGTTTTACAAACTCATAGGGCAGTGAAGCCTGAGGCCTGATGATACTGGCTAACAGTTTTTGAGGTCCAGCACTGTGTTATTTGAGCTTGATGTGGGTTACCTCATTTAGAACTGATCCACTGTTTAGAAAACCACTGGATTAGATGTAAAGAATTTATCTTTCTTTTTGCCTAATGTCCTAGCTTCCTTTGGTCTACATACTCTCAGCTTTAAAAAGCTGGTCTTTTTTGATTGGAATACAGGTCATTTTCATTGAGGCAAAGAAGTATAGTTGAAAGAATAATAGTTTTGGAATCAGAAGACCTGGGTTCAAGTTTCAGCTCTCATACTAGCTTGTGACATGGGGCAAATCACTTAACCTTACGGAGTCTCGGTTTGCTTATCTATACAACAGGGAAGGTCTGTGTCTGCATTTTCTTCATAGCGTATTGGGAAGATCAAATAAGATATTGTACGTGAACATAGTTTGCAAACTGGAGCTTAGTGTAACAGTATCGCTTTTACACTTACTATCAGAAGATCTCTTTAAGTTATGCTATGGTTGAGTTCAGTAGAATATTTATTTTTTGGAATTACTGTAATTCTGTGAAGGTATCAGGAATGAGCCACATTGCTGTTTACAGAAACTGAGTCAGCTGGTATTTGAGGTATGACATTTAGAATTCTTGAGATTATTTGTAAGAAAAAGATTTCTCTAGCAGCCCAGGAAACATATGGTTCTGTACTCTTCTAGGCTATAGTTTGGATGGGGAGGCCACAGTCCACATAAGTGGTGCCACAGCATTAGTCAGATGTATCTTTTGTACTTTCTACAGATGGATGACAATCTTCGCCAAAGCCCTCAGCTTCCTCCTCGGAAACTGCCAACACTTAAACTGACTCCAGCAGAAGAAGAAAATAATTCCTTCCAACGGCTTTCACCCTGACAGTAGTCATGGTTTGTGGCCAAAGTCAAATGATTGTTGCAGTAATCTCTTACACCAAGTGTGTGAAGGCAAAAAGAAGATACCATAATAGGTATTAAGGAAGACTCTAAACCAAAAGGAACTTTCTATGACATCTATTTTTATTACTATTATTATTATTAGGAAGCTTGTATTCTAGCTTGGCACTGCATTTTTAATAACATCAAAGAGAATGCTAATTGAACTTGGTGGGTGGGGGGAAGAAAAACACATCGTACTGTATACAAAAAACTGCCTTAATCATGGCAGATTTTTGCCTTTGGTTCATAGGTTGCTGACCAAAAGCTACAATTCTGTTCTGAATGTGCACTCCTAATTTATTTGAGTTAATTTATTCAATTTATTAACTTAGTTTTCTTAGACCAGGCTGAATACCTAATGTGTGGCTCTTTGGCTGAGGCTTTTTACTTCTGTTTAGAAATTTGATGCCTATTTTAGGAACCAGAAAAAGATAAATTGCTTCAGTAGAAAAGACCATATTTAGCTTTAAAAAGTGATGAGGAACGTGCTTTTTAATTATGCTCTCATAAGTCTAATCTTTTGGGGGTTTAGTAGCACATAGATAAATATTAAAGGTGGTTACATATAATAACATCTGATAATACTCATTTCAGTATAACATTGGTCTTTGCTGATGTGTTCGATACACGTTAGGAAGGGTTCTTTTAGTTTAGTTGGGCGAATGTGGCAGTTTTAGACCTATGTCTTTGTAGTACATCTTTAGTTGTATTTCTTGTATTAATTCCAGAAGAAGTGAATGTACTGGTCATCGTTACTATGCTAGGCTGTAAAGTCTTACTGAAATTGCCGTCTTGTTAGATACTCCTCAGGAGGAGCCCATGGCCAGGGTAGTAGAAATACTTACTGTGCATCTGGTCCAAGTTTTTTATGCTTGGCTCAGGCTAATATTCTTTCATAAGATGCATATCATGTAGTCAGAAGCTTTCTGACAACCAATTATTTTCCATATGTTTCACCTACAGTCAAAGAATACAAAGGAACAATCAGAAATAGCAGCTTTTAACAAATATTTTCTATTTATTGGTTGCTGAACTGTTAAGGGATTTGCTGTGTGGTAATTTTACTTATAATAGAAACTTGTTTATTTTAGTGGTTGAGGTGCTTCTGTTGTCCTAAAACCACTTCTGAGGTTTTCAAAATGTAGAACCATGTTTTTGATTAGTGTCTTAAAAGATTATTGTGGTGCTCATGAAATCTTATCAAGTCCTGTAGGAACCCATATGTTAAGAAAACAAGCTTTGTAGTCAAAAGACTCATCTAATTTGAGCTGAGTGGAGCTCAGCTGTGTTTGACCCACATCCTCCCAATTTGTTCTGTATTTAGGTAGTTATTTATACAGGAGTCTTTAAGTCATTGTAAATATTTTTTCTTGAAAGTTTTAACTAAATGAGAAATAAGGTAGTCTTCAAAATCTTGGTCATCTGTTTGGATGTATTTAGGGAAAGTACCTCATGAGTTGCACATTACTTCTACAACAGGGTGTGTGTGTGTGTGTGTGTGTGTGTGTGTGTGTGTGTGTGTGTGTATTAGGCATCTTCAAAGGCAGGTTATTAGAGTGTGTGTGTGTGTGTGTGTGTGTATTAGGCATCTTCAAAGGCAGGTTATTAGATTCCAGCAGTCTAAAATCTGATTCCAGCAGTCTGAAATCTAAATATTTTATATTGGAAATCATGACTGTGAGACTTTATTGTCCTCTGGGATGGATGTGTATTGGAGAAGGGTGATTAGCACATTCATCAGACATGTGTTTATGCTTTGGTCAAGGCCAGTCATTTTTAATTATGATTTATATCAGACCCTTCAAAAAGTATTTGAAATACATTACAGTTATAACATACATAACATATATATTACAAGCATATTACATGTAAAACAGGACAATTTAAAAATTTTTAATTTTAAAGAATTAAAAACATTAAAAAATTTAAATTAAAAAAATTAAAAATTTGCAGAACAATATCAACACTGACAGATTCTAAAATTAAGTGGTAAATTTAACTCCAAGTTTCTCTATGGGCAAAGTCAAAAGATAATGCTAGGTTATGTCAATTTTTCTTTCAATAAAACTGCTGATGTCCATTAGGAAGAAAAATGTGTTTAAAGTTTTACAGGAACGTGGAGCTCATGTTCTTCTGATATGTAGACTTTGATAAAGAAGCATACTGTAATATTTCATAACCCGAAATTTTAATCAAAAGAGGTCATTTTAGAATAACAAGTATTTGTCTTTTTTAGTAGAGGGAATGACTGTCAATATGATTTATTTGCTTTTGTGTCATCCCTACTTCAAACTGCCATAAGCCTTACATTCTCACTGTAGTCCATAATGCTTCCAGATCACCTTTCCTAAGATGCAACATGCGATTTTAGTGAGAGTTTGTATGTTGGGTTACTTAGTTGAGCTATTTGTATATAAGCAGATGAGATGACAGGAAGCTGTAACTGAGCACAAAGTACTTTAGGGACCAATCACACATACAGGAAGCTCTTAGAAAAGAACTTTTTTTTTTTTTTGAGACAGAGTTTCGCTCTTGTTGCCCAGGCTGGAGTGCAGTGGTGCAATCTCGGCTCACTGCAACCTCCACCTCCTGGGTTCAAGCAAGTCTCCTGTCTCAGCCTAAGTAGCTGGGATTACAGGCATGTGCCACCACACCCAGCTAATTTTGTTTTTTTTTTTAATAGAGACGGGTTTCACCATGTTGGTCAGGCAGGTCTCGAACTCCTGACCTCAAGTGATCCACCCACCTCAGCCTCCCAAAGTGCTGGGATTACAGGCATGAGCCACTGCGCCCGGCCAAAAAAGAACATTTTGTCAATCTGAACAGAGCACAGACCATTTTTTCAGACTGAACAGACTGCTAGACCAGCCTGTTTTAGATAAAGTTTGAGTTCATTGGGATAAATGGCCCCAATCTTAAACAGAATACTGTGAGCCAATGCCTTTTGGAAGTGATGGTGGAGGATAATATGATTAAAGGGAACATGCTTGTGTTTATTTTTGTTGGTAGTATATGATTAGAAAAACTGGTCAGATAATTCCCATCAGATGAAGATCTTCCATGAACAAACTGCCATCAATCATCCATAAGACTGATTTTTTTTTTTTAAGGAACACTAAAGAAGCTGTAAAGAACATTGAAGGTGGTCATTCCTTCAAAACTGTGTTTTGACCACACAAAAGGTGGGCATTAACAAACCAAATTTCAACTTAAGTCTGTATTATTTTGGGGGTGCTGCAAGACTGGAGATTTTATAAAAGCAAGCATTTTTATTTCCGTTTATAATTCGTATTCATTCAATATTGCTAGATATATTAATGTGAAGGAATGGGGAAGCTTATTTCAATCAAAGCTAAAATTTTCAGAAGTCTGTAAAAATGGAAAAACACCATTGAAAGAGGCAGAAATAGGTAACGGAGATAGTATCTTAGAAAACCTGTTGGTTAAGGCAGTGATAAAAGTAGTATTTGAACTTGGTAGTGCTTCCTTACAATCTCCTCCAAAAATATGCATTTACCAGGCTTGTTACATTTTTTTGACAGTTTTTCATCAACTGTCAAAAACTTTAACCCTTTTAAAACCTAGATATAAATGCTTACATGTAAAGACAGGAAGCTAAGCAATGGGTACCTGGAATCTCTCTGAACTATTTTTATAACTTCTTGTGAGTCTAAGTATTTCAAAATAAAAGTGGTTTTAAAGTAAATTCATAGATTAAATGTATCATTATCTATATAAACTATGATTTAAAACTTTAATTTTCCAAACATAGTATTCAACTTAGTTGAATAAATATATGATAGAAGTTAAATACAATTTTTATTTCGTTCTTAAGAAAAACTCATGTTTGTAACAAATGACTTTATCTAAAGATCTATTTTGCCTTACCAGAAAAGAAAAAACCAACCTAAAACCAAAAACTCCTTTTCCCTAGGATGTCAAAAATGCTGTGACTTAAAATATCTAATTATATTTTTTTCTTTCTATGGTAGCGGGGTTTACTTCTGAGGATAAAATATTTTGAAAAAGTTCTGTCCCTTGACGTGGTAGTTCTCCTGTGCCTTGTACTTGTTCTCTCTACTTGTTCTCTCTCCAGATGCACAGTTTCACAAGATGCTCACCTTTAATGAAGAAGGTGTAGCTTTTCGTTTTAAGCTGTAATTGTCTTTGTCTTGATTTGGCTATTTTTATAACTGAAATCCTGAGCAACAGAGATAATTTGGGTGGTAATGATAGTCTTTTGTGTATGTTCTTGATGTTAAATGTTTTTTGCTGCCATTCAACTTTGTGGAATTTATGTTTACTTTTCAGTGTTTTCATATTGCTTAACCAGATTTTAAAGAAATTTTGTTGTTAGTTACGTGAAGTCAAAGGTCAGTAGGTCAGTAATCCCATTATCCTCAAACTTGAAGTTTCATTAGATGTTCAAAATGCTAATTTTCACAGAGATATAAGGATAAATTTGTTTTAGTTTTGTTTTGGTTCCCAAACTCTTGTTGGGGTATAGTGTTTGCTAGGAGCCCAGGTTACCTGCCCTGGACTTAGATTGTGATTGAAGTGGAGAGGTACTCTAGGAGTTTAAAAAGACACAAAATTATTTTTTTCCAGACTAGTTAATTCTGATAAGAATTAACATTCTTGAACAAAGTTATCAGAAAGGGTATCTCGAGTTGAAGGTTTGTGAATAGAAAGGGAAATGTGATAGAAGATTATTCAGAACAAAATAGACAAAATAACAAGAGACAGGAAAATAAGTCTCTTTGTATCCTTATTAATCATATGAAATTATGCTATAATATTTTTTAAAAATCACCTTTTTGGTTCTGGGTGAAGCAGTTCCTAGCAGAGTGTTTTGTCAGAACATACTGTTAGGTGAATAGAGGGTTCTGTGGCCAAGTAAGTGTGGGAAATAGTGGGTTAGACAAAATTGAGTTACTGTTGGCCTTTCAGACCTTTGATATGCTAATGTGCATTTTAAATCTCCGAGAAGCACCTCTATTTTATACATCATTTCCCTAATTTATTTTAATACGGATTTGTTTTTGTTTTTGTTTTTTTGAGATGGAGTCTTGCTCTTGTCGCTCAGGCTGGAGTGCAGTGGTGCAATTTTGGCTCAGTACAACTTCCGCTTCCCAGGTTCAGGCAATTCTCCTGCCTCAGCCTCCCAAGTAACTGGGATTACAGGCGCCCGCCACCACACCCAGCTAATTTTTGTATTTTTAGTAGAGATGGGGTTTCACCATGTTGACCAGGCTGATTTTGAACTCCTGACCTCAGGTGATTCTGCCTGCCTCACCCCCCCAAAGTGCTGGAATTACAGGCATGAGCCACTGCCCCCTGCTGGATTTTTTTTAAAGTAGGTATCTTGTGGGATTTATGTTCTGAGAGATACACCTGAGGAAATGCTCCCCTACGGTGTTTTTGCTAGTTTATACTCATTGCAAAGGTTTCTTATCGTTGGGTGCCCCTCTAGCCAGTAGTAGTAAAATGGGAAGAGACAGGTCAAGACTTCCTTGGACCATGGTATTGAGAGGGATATGGCTGTCGGCATAGATACCTTGGTTATTTAGGCATTTGTGAGGGAGGCCCCTGGCTATTCCAGCCCCTTTCCTCAGAATCCTAGTTGGCCAGGAGCAGCTATACAGGTGTCTGAACTGGTGGTTTGAGGACTACCCAGTTCCTAAGCATCCATGAGGCAGAGGGAACCAACTTGTATTTCCAGAACAACTTTACAAACCTTTTCTGGCTGTGCTTTAAAAGTGCCAAAAAGGCAAAGGATGTTTATGACATTGAAGTCACATACAAGCTAGTATGATACATATATCATAGAAAGCTTATAGTTGCTTCAGTGACAAAGCAAAGGAAGGTTAATATTTTCAAGTTTTGTTCATTACTGAAGACAGTCTAAGGTTCATAGTTTTCACTAAATTCTAAGCAGATTCTGTATCCTAAAACATTTAAACGTCACTAGGCCTGCAAGTTTGAGAGTGTTAGCTAAATATGTTTGATATCACTTCAGAGTCTAAAACCAGATTACTAATCATGTGTAAGGAAGCATTTTGTGTGTCTTTGCAATGTATACAATTGCATCATTTGGAACACCGTTTTGAGTGTGTATTTGAGAGAAAGCTCGCCTGTGGGTTTTGAGTTGTGGTGTAATGGTGAACATGTAGCCACATGAAAGGCCGTTGGATCTTTGTTCTGATTCTTCAGTCTTCTCGCAAATTCAGAGAAATGTCTTTTAATCATTTCGTTTACATATCCCAGATCCTTGGAAATCATGAAAAATAACTTGCCAGAGTTTGCATCAGCCCTCAATAAGTTATGAACCATAGAGAAGGTCATGGGGCCCTTCATTCTTTGGACTGTTGGCTACTTCTGCAGTTCTGGCTTCCTTCTCTCTAGGAGGAGTAGTGTACTCAAGCTTTTAAGTTAAATGCATAAAAATGAGTTTTATTTCTCTTCTGACTTGGTTTTTAATTTTATGAAATGGGAGATGTTTTTCCATTTTTCTATTCATTTTGAAGTGGGAGTTTGAGGTGTTTGTAATGTCACGTTATTGTTCGGAAAGATTGACAGTAAAAAAGACAAGTAATATATGTATGTAGTATGCATATTAGTTTTGTCCCATCAAGCCTATCTTTGAATGGCAAACATTTTTAAAACATCTGTTCTAGTTGCACAACTACTCTAGCTTCATTATAAAGTAAACAATCTTAAAGTAAGCAATGTTGGCCATAATTGCAATATTCTAGCCTTGCCGAGTGTGAATATATTTTACTCAGAGACTGTATAAATACACTAAAGTGGTGATGGTGATCAATATTGTAAAGAATTTATTCTGATAAATGAGAAACTGGATATAATGTCAAAATAGCTATTTTCTCAATAAAAATCTCAAATCTGACTGCTTATTAATTCTTGATTTAATGTTATTTATTCTTTGAGGTAAATCTTTTCATCGGGAAGAATTTTTTGGTGGTTGAATGTAGTTGTTCATGGCTGGGACTGAGCTATAGACATAGTGGGTTTTTTAAAAATGTCCATTTTTTTTGAGACAGTTTTGCTGTTATCACCCAGGCTGGAGTGCAATTGTGCGATCTCAGCTCACTGCAGCCTCTGCCACCCAGGTTCAAGCACTTCTCCTGCCTTAGTCTCCCAAGTAGCTGGGATTACAAGCACCTGCCACCATAATTTTTTTTTTTAGGTGTTTCACCATGTTGGCCAGGCTGGTCTTGAACTCCT